TTCTTCAAGTTCATCTAGAAAGGTTTTTAACAATAATACATTTTGAATTTGTTGTTTGCGATTCATGGTAAAAGTTAACCAGTCGTAATATAATGATCAATCCGGTTGATCAAAAATCGTGCTCAATTGTAACTATTATTTGATTGGTTACTTTTTTTTCCGATCTGAACAATCTGATCTAGAACTGAACAGGGCTTATGAATTTAATGTGACGATCATTTTAAAAATCAACCAATTAGGCTTAAGCCCGCTATGCTAGGTGGTTTAGGGTTCAAAAAAGTGCGAAATTTTTGTTCGTAAAAAATGTTTGTCTAAAACCTGACGTTAGGTAACGGACGAATTTAGACCACGGCTATTGACATGTGATGTGAGTCATGTAATGTATAGATAGCCAATCAGAGTAATAGGATTGTTGACCAATCAGAGCGATGGGTGTAAATTAGTGTAACCCAGAGCTCATGTAAAAAGCTTGCAAAAGAGAATATAGTTTCCGATTTAATTATTTATTTACCCATAAAAGTATTGATACACAACCATTTTGGAAAACATGACAAACTAGGTATATTTGGTTTAGCAATAGTATGTGTATGCGATACGCTTTATGTTTATTTTTATTTTCTTTCCTTAAGAAAATGGAATTCATTTATATTTAATTTTAAAAGCTTTTGACTGTTGATGAAAATTTATGGAATCGAAGAAAATATAAATACATTTATGAATAATAGTTATGGTATCTAAAGGACCATTGATGATGTTTACAAAAATATCAAAATAGGAAAAGTTTAGACAGGAATTAAAATTTATTCTATGCATTAGTTTGATTCTCAAATAAAACGTCAAATCTTTCAAGCAATAATTGATAGCTATAAATCAGCTATTCAATAAATTGCCATATGAATTTATACTTGTAGCGAAAAATGTGAAAATCAAGAAGTTCGCAAATGTAAAAAAAAAAAAAGTTTTCTTTTTTTGATTATCAGTTCGATTATAATAAACATTTTAAAAAATCAAATGAAAAGCTTTGTCAAATTTTTAGAATCGTAATATGCAATATATATATGTTTAAACGGTAAAGCTCAAACAAATTATTTTTAGTAATTAATATCATATAAAATATTATCATAATTTAAGGAATAGTTTTTATAAAATAAATAGATTAAAGTTTTTGTTTATTTTAATGTGTTATAATAAAATTCTTTATACTTGACCAAAAAAATTTTTTTAGTTATCTCTCGCATGATTGTAACTTCTAGCACATCTTTTTGAAACGTTTTGAAGCTTTTTCATTTTAGATATTATGTCAAGTTCACGTAATTGCGCTTTCAATATTCAATAAAAAAATGTATAAGTAATTTTAAAAATAAATAAATAAATTATAAAGTAAAGCAAGATAATTTTGAAGAACCGAAAATGTCTTGACCGAAATTATGCAATATATATAATCATTATTACCACTTCCACCAACAAAAGAAGATGACCAATAAGTATTTAGATTACGGTAATAACACGTTATATACAGCTTCGATTTCTGTTTTAATGTAATCCGAAGATGTTTTATCAAATATCTATAATGTTCTATGGTTGTATGATTAAGGTTAAAGTTTACATTTGTTCTCGTATTTAAATAGATAACTCAAATTATTATTTTATTGCAGTTCGCTGACGGTCTTATTTATTGGTACCCATGAAGACATTGAGGGGCTACGGTAAAGTGGTAGCAAAAGAATTGCTACGTTTCGCAGCGATTCAACCCTCCTAAAAAAATAAATAAAAATAATATAATGAAATAAAAAAATAAATACCTCATTTTCATAAATTCTACCTTGGTCTTATTAATCTTTCTTAATTTGATAAGATCAAAAAATTTGATCTTTTGAAGATTTTTGCAACATAATTAACTTGTTTATTGCTAATTTTATCTCTGACTTTACATTAGCACGATAAATAAAGAAGTTGAACCATTGGAAATCGGGGGTTTGTTGTTATTTGATCCACACTCCACGTAAAGAATTGATTAAAAGAATTCGAAAAATGGTTTTGATAACGAGAAATAATTCCCTTAACCTTATTGACGCTTGACTATTAAACAAAAGTATAATAAAAATTGAATGAAATAGGAAATTATAATCACCGAATTAGTTTTAATGATTCTGGTTATTCATGTATAAAAGATTTTCGAAAAATAATTTACATTTTCGACGAATTTTGTCATGAGAATGGCTCGATCACCTTTTTGAATGTAAATGATCAAAGTTGTACTGCGCCTCATGTGATTTAACACTGCGGCAATAGTCGAGAAAGTAATACACCAAAGTTAAATTTATAAGTACATCATGTAATTATTAATTTAATTAAGAAAATCCCCAAAAGGGGAGAAATTTGGTTAGTAGATTACAACTACAAACCTAAACAAGGTAAAGAAAAAGAGTTAGAACTTTTATTATTTTTATTATTTATCTTTAAAGGCGTAACTTAGTATTAGTTTAGAGTTTTTATAAATAGACCTTTAAGGTTGACCTTAAGTCGACAAAGTTTTGGGACTAGACTTTAACTCTACAGTTTTAATAAAAGATACTATTTTACACTTTTCAATCTTCTTTTTTGTCTTCATACAAAGATTTGATTGTGATAACTAAACACACAAGTGAATCGTAATAATAAATCGTTTTGATTGTTAATCGTTTATTTCTCTCAAGAAAGGCCTTCGAGATAATTGAGATATTAAGATATTTGGTTTGTTAGCTTGGTTTCGGTCATTTGAAAATTAGCCAATGACCAGGTCATTTGCCATCACTGTTACAAGGTACGTTTGATGTACATTTTCCAAAAATATTTTATGATCAAAAAATAATACGCCCGATTTCGTAATGTCTATTTTTTTTTTTTAACAAATTTGGATATCTAGATAAATAAGGACCATTATTCCGAGAAATAAATGTACCATCAGAGTGTCTAAGGTGCTGTAAAGTTTGCTATATTTAATAGTAAACGACATACTTAAAGCAACCTGGAGATTGATGGAAAGCGATCAAGCTAGACCAATAGAAAGCCTGTTACAATGTCGGTGAACTTGGATTTTCAGGTAGGCTTGGGGGCGAACGTGATATGCGGGAAAATGATTGTGTTTTATGGCAAAAGACAAAAGACGATGAAAAATTGCTTCTTAAATAGAAAATGAATTCTTTAATATCAGAATCGCACTTTTAATGCCTATTTACAATATTAAATCACTTATCTTCTTACTTTTTTTAAAATAAACTATTTAATAAATCAATTAAAGAGCTAATATTCATAGTAATATCAAAGATTTTAATGATTTGTTAATATGGTTACATGACGTGATATTATTTGGCTATTTTTTATGCAGTTTTGTAAAATAAGAGACAACTTACTATAACTAGATAAAAATTAGATATTAAATAAGAATAAGGAATAGCATTTTGAGAAGTTGAGAATTAGCCACATGAACTTTTATGCATTTCTACTTTTTATTACTTTATTCTATTTTTTACATTTTTACTTCAAACACTTGCATTTTTTTTTGCTTTCAGACAAAAAAAATAGAAATATTGTTTCCTACCCAGAAGAGCGTTATAAGAAAGAATAATCCTGTACTTCCGTTTCACAATTTAAAGAGTGATAATAACGTGTAAACAATTTTCAATCAATGACCGAAAGTTCCTGCAATATTATATTAATGGTCATTATTTTTTTTTATTATGTCGTCTTACATTTTAAAAGAACAATGATGGCTCCTTTTTTTTTAAGTCCGAGGACGAGATTTTTCTAGTTGTAACGGAATTTGAATCTTCTAAAAAACCCAGTAGCAACGTTTAAAATTCAGATAGTTATATATAAATAGTCGGCCGATTTAAAGTATTTTTTTATTCGAAATATTCTCTAATGAAATATAAAATGACTGATTGTTGTAACAAAAACTTAAAAAAAAATAATTTAATTATAAAGCACTCCAATAAATTACAAATGAAGTTAAGAACGAATTTTATTCAATCAATTAAAGTATTACGTTTGCTCACAACTAGAAATAAAGTATCGTGCGCTATCAAATGATTACGCGACTCGAATATGAATAGATACAGTATATACCTCAGAATTTTTCATCACCTAGATTTATGTAAATAATTCATGTCTTTTAAAAAGAGTGTATTTATATTATGAACCTAAATGTAAATTGTAATTACACCTTCGACTTTATTTTGGGTTATGCAAGAAATTTTACGTCATTTTATGTCGGGTTCTTTGAAAAATCTTCATATGGTAAGTAGGTTACGATATCTTTTTTTTCTGTTTGCTGTCTGTTCTTATTAAGTTTATTAGACAAAACTCCATTTTTAAAATGTTTGTTCTCATCTTTTAAGTATTTTTTTATAGTAGTTTCATCTACCGAGGAAAAGGTGAAAAAGAAATTCAAAATACAAGCCGTTGATAAGTTTGGTGCAGTTGATAACCAAAGTGAGTAGTCTTACTGAGTTATTTGTCGAGTCGTTGTGTATCTGAAGTTGCACTGCCACTAGGTATAAAAATTATCGGGGAATTGAAAGCTCTTCGTGGCCACAGTTGAGTGGGGGCACCCTTCAGACAGTGGAATGAAGAAACCTTGAAGGGAATTTCTATGATGAAGGTCAACTGATTCATGTATCCTATTTACCATTTAAACTTCTAGGGTGTGGAATACATCGGAAACAGGGAAGAACGTTCACAGAAAGAACGAGAACACTCTCAGCAGCAAACAAATACGTCAAGAATTTATAATTTCTGTGATTTTTACGAAGGAAGTTGCATGACCAATTCTTCATTACGAATCAATGAATCGAAAGCTCATCATGGCCACAGTTACAAACAACTGCGAACGTTCTTCTTAATTCTTGACGATGATGAAGCATATTTATCTTTTAGTTGTCCCAAGATTGACATCAAATGCAACAAATCGGGAAAAAATTTGTAATTTTTTGCAAGCGAGTGAATTAATTATTCAAAAAGAAGGGCAAATCTTTTTCTCTTTTTATAAATTTTGAGAGTCCTATCTTGGTAAGAGTTTAATATTTGCGTTAATTGGAACCGTTCCCCAATGATTGAATAAATTATCCTTCCTACGACCTCTACCTTAATAAAAGAAATGATGATTTTGCCTTAAGTAAGTATCAAAGACAAAAAATTTAAAGTTTGGACGCAGATGAATATGTATCGACAATCAAAAGCTGATGAAATTTTATACCGAAGTAATCGAGTACACCAACTTTATATTACAGTGATTGGGTAAGTAGGCTCTATATCCAAAAATAACAAGACAATGTCAGTTATGATGACGGAAAATTATCCAAGAAACAATGATAATAATCCCAATTTGAGAACAAGTGACAGGTTCCCTTGATGATACAAGTAAGCGAATTACTTTAATAATGAATATTTTTGGTATAGGTTTTAGCAGGAAATTCAGGTGCGCATCCAGCCACAATTGAAATTGCAGGATTTCAGAAGACTTCTGCGTCGAGAAGGTTAGATGCATAATATTTAGTAGGCTCGTTGTTTATACACCAAATTACAATTTATAGATTTTGATTAGAAACTGCGGCTTGCGGGATTTACCAGTTAGATTCTATGATTGAATTTCATGGGATGCGTGCATACCCATGCACTTTAGAACTTCATAAAGTTGTAATTATTGAGTTAATGGTATCCTGCCCCCATTCCAAGTCTTTTTATATTTTCAGAACATTATCGATAATTCCCGAACGAAACTTCCATTGAAATATTATATTATTTAGAAATGCATCAGAATAAAATAATTGTGCTTCAATTGAAGCAAAATTAAAAATGAAGATATGAAACTAATGTTCATTGAGCTTTTTTCTATCATGACCTATAAAAAAAATCGTAGCGAAAGTATGATGAAAAGGTTTACTCGCATATTCGATGAACATTAGTTTTATTTAAAAAATATATTGTTTAAAAAAATAAGATTTTCATATAATTTCAGCTAGACTAGAATTTTAATATAAATTTTTTATAGGTTAAATTCAAAATATGAAGAATTTTTTCTTTTTTTTTTTTAAAAAAAAAGGCATTCATTCAATAGATATTTATCTCGTATTTTTATCTAATTAGATTTGATCTAATATATTATTTGTAACTTGCTATCTATATAATAATGAAGGATATTCAATAAAGATTAATTCGCGTAAAGATGAAAGTGAAATCATCGGCCATACTTATATACTTTTAATTGTTTCTGGATAAATGAATAATATATTTTATTAAAATACAAGCTAAAAAAACAATTGCATGTACCGTAAATATTCAAGTCTTTTAAGTGATAGTATTAACCTGAAATAATTCATACATACCATTATTATCCATTCCTCGTCATATCTAATCTCGGTTTAGGGTCAAATATCAAAAAAAGACCTACGCGAAATGTATCGCTTTCATTGTGTATCTTATAGACGAAACCATTTTCTTAAATCCAAACATTACGCCTAGTGAATTGTTGTTTTATAATTTATAAAAATTAGTTTAATTATCCAAGCATGACTATTATATCTTATTAAAGATTTTTTTTTTATACGATATTGAAATTAACTTTTGAAATTAAAATGAGTTCATTTTTTTTTAGCTATTCGAAATTTTTTTTTTTTTTTTAAAAAAAAAGGAAAATTAAAAATTCGTTATAAAAAGATTTGATCATTTAAAACTAAAAGATCAAAAATCAATTTTATCAATTTTTGATATTCCGAATATCAATAAAGTTAATTTCGAATATTTTAATTTTTATAACTTTATTTAATTTTTTTTTTTTTGTTAAAAAAAAAAAGAGAGCTTTAAATCGTTGGATTCGGTTCTTGTGATATTTTTGATGACAAGGTCGATCTATATATTAAGAAATAAAACGTTAAAAGGACGAAACAATAGGGCAATGATGATGAAAAATAAAAGAAACCGAATTTATGAATCTTTTTATTTCTATTGCCGATTTGTTATCGTATATTTTTAAATCTAATTAATCAACTAAATTGATCTATGCATTTATGGAAGTCGTTGCTATTTTTATAAAGCGCAGTCACATTAACCAACATCCGTATGAATCAAAAGTATTACACGTATTTTAACGCATTTTCACCTCAACATTCTAAATAAAACTTCTTTAATTTACATCAAACGACAATGGAAATTTCTTAAATGATAATGCTTTCATATGTCATGCATCTATCTGAAGTCCTAAGATAGCAACATTTATTTCCATTCTTCGCATCATTCATTATTTAGAGGATAAATACAAAAATTTCTTGTGTACGTATATAGTTCATGTTTTTAGTTTTTTTTTTCTATCATTAGACCAATTTTTTCCTTATTTGTGAATATTATTACTTTAAAGGAGGTAAAAAAATATTTTATTTATTTTTATTTTTTGCCTTGATATCATCTCACATTACGACACAAAATGAATTGGTTAAGGAAGGGTGTGTTTAAAGCACCAATTTATGTAATGGATTTTCACTTTACAATATACTGTATATACCTATTTATTTTCTATAAAAACCTTAGTGTTCGTAAAAATTTAAGAAGGTCCTTGTTATGATTAACATTTGACAATAAAAATTATTTTGATATCATGAATTTGTTAAGTGTGATGAATTGATGAAATTGATTAGTTATTTTTGAATTTTGTTTTTTAGTTGTAAATAGGAATTAGAAAAAAAAATTACTTCCGAACCTTAATACTCGGTAGAATATTAAATAACTTATGTAATCATATTGATGCGCCACATTACTGATTTGGAAAGTCAATTGTTGCTTAAAAAATAATAGCGCATTTGTAATGCACGTGATATAATGGATTTGAACACCAATCACACCAATCAGATTTTCTTGAAATATACTGCTTAAAAAAGTCATTATGAAAACCAATCAAATTTATTTATTCAATAAACATGAAATTCTCCATTCTTTCTCCATCCTTGCTAAAATTTCAGGTGTAAATTCTTTACCACCAATATTTTTTTTTTTTTTTTTTTGAATGAGAATTATTATATGTACCCAAACCCTCCTCACAGATTCTCCATTAATGTGAATACTTTCTTTGACGACCGCTTATTAATCTTATATTCTAATGCAAAAAAAGGTAAACTAAAACATCTATATAAGGTATTAAGACACCATTATTAGTTAACACATTGAATCGTATTATTTTATCAATGATGCTGATCAAACAATTCTTACAAAATATTTTACCTGTTTATTTTTATAACATCGATGAATAGCATTCCATCGCCTTCTAAGTTATTATGAATTCTTCCAAAAAAAAGACAAGTTTAGATGATCGGATAATTTGTCTAGGAGTTTTCAACAAATAATTCCATAATCAAAGTAGAAAAGATAAAACGCGTAATGCGAACAAAACGACAATTAAAAAAAAACATTTGACCAAACGCTGATCCTTACTTGAGAAAGAACTAGGATGTGAGAATTATCTCATTTTGAACTTTAATGTTTAACTTTTGTAATGGAGATATTGATGGACAAACATTTAACGCATCCAATCTAGCGTTTCGAGAGTCGTTCTTAGATATCATGTCAATGTAACCCGAAAAATCTAAGGAGAGGTTCAAGATGGAGTCACCGATTTGCGGAACGTTGTCTATGTTAATTCCGCCTAAATTATCCAAAAAATAAGTAAATGAAACACAACTTTTCAAGATTAACTTTTTAATTACCAAGATCAATGACATTTTTTTCTTTATGATCGAAGATATTTAGACATCATAGAAATGACGATAAATACTTATCTTTTCAAATTACTAAGGCGGAGTCGATATATCCACGAGGTGGCACAAAATGCTTAAATCCGTAAGCTGTTAATAAAGTTAAAATGGTAGATTATAGATAAAAACTTATTATTATGTTCATTTTAAGATAGATGAACAAATAAAAAATTTGACGAATGGGAATTCCTTGCCTTATCATTGTAAGAACGTCTCAAACCGTACGTAAAAATGTAATCATACCAATGGAAACTTCAAAAATGATGAAGAATCGTCGTATAGGTACTTTTTTATATCGGGAGTTATCCTTTAAAATATATTAACTTCATTTTTTAGATCAGACGTTTGAAGAAGGTAAGCACTAATCATCTTTGATAATATTTTTTTGTACTCACATGAATCTCGCACCTTCCCTTGCAAAAAAATCTAAAAATTTGTTTGATGAAATTTACAAATTCCCTCCTTAATCTGCACGCAATAATGAAAATTTGAATTATGTGAGTTATAAAATCTACATTCGTATAGAGAGATCGCATGTTAAGTAAATTACGCGAGCAATTTTTCCTTACAAAGTTTTAATTTGTTCAATTAAATCTACCAAATTATTTTAGACTCAGCCCCAGCGACCTGTTAATTATTTTTTTATGATCTTTAGTTAAACACAATAATTCACAAAAAATTTTGTGTTTCCATATTTCTCACGATCCAAGAATTCCGATCAAAAGGTAAATTACGTGTTATCTTTGTTCATATGTCGAGAGCCTCATTGTCAAATTGTAACTGTAAATAGAGAAAAGGAAGAAAGAAATTGTTGGCAATGGTAAAAAAACATGTTATTATACATTAAAATTTTATCAAGTAATAATGTTCAAATGGTCTTTATTGGCTCGAGTATACCTTTTTGATTCTTACCTTATAATAATTAATAATTGATGAATTATTTTTGTTCGTTCTCAAATCTCTTTGAAAATTATTCTCAACTTGATCATCTTTCATGTATGGTAACAAAATGTATGATAACATAGGTACTCTTAATCTCATTGCATAATTTGTTGCTTTGTATATATTGTAGAAGAATTTGGTTGTTAATATTGAATCAATCCAATGCGATGTCACGTGTTAAAGTAATATTACATAATTGAAGGTTTTTAATTTTTTTCCTACATTTCCACAATTTTTTCAATTTTCACCCAGATTGCTCAAAATTTGGAACAGCATTGATTTAAAAAAAATTGTTTTCATGATCCGATAATCGATAAGAAAAATTTCAACCCGTTTGTGAGTCAACATCTCGTTGTTGCGGTTGTTAATAGATAATTCGAATGCCCGAGAATATAGCTATCATTGTGATTTCTTATCTTATAATATTATGATGAATTTCTTTGTTCCTATCTTTAAGTCATGCCATTAAAAAAAAATTATCTTCCTTGCATATTGTTTTCAATTCATGTAAGGCATTACTTTTTTTGATTTATCATAATCAGATGCAAATAAATGTGGACAATGCAGAAGAAAGCTTTAATCATCCCAAATTTGTAAATGTGATGTCACACGTTTAAGTAATATTACATAAGGTAATAACTTCTTCATTTTTTCGAACTTCCACTCAGATTGTTCTAAAATTCCACAAGAATTATAGTCCAACCAATTTTAATCTTATTGTTCATCCATTTTTTTTCCAAGATAAGCCGTTAAAAAAAAAAAATTTTGTCCTTCATGATCGACGACTCTATCAGTTTCTGATTATCTATAAAACAGTTTTTCCGACATGCAAAGTTGTGAATCCCATTGTCTAAGTTGTAGTTGTTAATAGAGAAAGAATTGAAAGTGTATATTATAAATTAAGTTAATATAAAGTGATAATTCAATTGAAGTTAATTATTACCTTATAATATTATGATGAAACATTGCTGTGTTTCTTTGTTCAATATGTAAATCTCCTTGAAACTTGATAAAGGAACTATTTCTTTGATGAAATTTATAATCTATTACATAATTTTGGAATGTAATCTTGTATGCAATGCAGAAAAAGTTGAACCGAAAAGTCTTTAATTATATCAAATTTGTAAAATGTTGTGACATGTTAAGGTAATATTACACATGTATCGAGGTTTCAAATTTTTCAATACTACCGGATTGATTAATCAGCCAGAATTAATCAATCAATTGTCTTGATCTTCCTTTTTTTCTTTTCTTTTTTTTTAATGGACATTCGGAAACTTTATAATATTCATCCACGTGCTTTAAGCCTATATCTTCGAATATGAATCCCATTGAGCTGTTAATAGAGATAAGAAAGTAAGTAATTGTTGTCAATCTTGTTAATAAACATTAAAATTTTCAAAATGAGATTATCGGATTCGAGAGGAGAGAATAATTTGATTTTTTACTTTGTAAAGATATGATGCGATCATATCATGCTTCTTTGTTCCCATGAGATTGTTTTCCTTAAATTACATCGTTAAAGTTTGATCCATTGACAATCGTTTGATACAATAATACATGAATTTTACAATAAAACTAATAATCTATAAAAAAAAGTTATTGGATGCAATTAACAAATGAATTAATATTATTACATAATTTTTGAAATGTAGAACTGATAAACTATGCATGCTTTACAGAAAAATTGGATTATGTTTGCTGTAAAGTCTTTATAAAAATGATCTCACATACCAAAGTAATATTCTTATGTAACTTACTTTATTTAATATACAAAATTTCAACTTTTTCTTTCTTTATTTCGACCCAGATTAATATTTCAAATTCAATCAACTAATTGCCTGGAATTGATTAACTCAGCATGATCTTCTCTCCTTTTAATTTTAATGGTAATTTGGGATCTCTAACTCATCACAATAATCCACAAAATAAAATTTTTTTTGTTTTTTTTTTTTTTTTTGTGTAAAAGAAGTCGTTAAAACAAAAAATTTTACGAGATCCGATATCGAAAAAACTATAATATCACGTGTTTTAACGCTGTAATATGGTAAATCCCATTACCTAGGTAATAAAGGAAAAGAGTTGGAACGTTGTTACAAGAAATCGATTCGAACGAATAGAAGACTGAATATATAATTTTCATTTTGATTCCTTACCACGATGAATTGTTGTTGTGCGTCCTCTACATTATGTCTCCTTGAGTATTGTTTCAACTTGATAATCTTTCAATGTATGACATGAATTCTTTGATGATATCATATCTTATTACATAAGTTTTTGGATGTAATCTATATGAACACTTATGCAATGCAGAAATTTAATTATGTCATAAATTCTTTAATTAAACCCAAATTTGTAAAAATGATTCACCCGTTAAAGTATTACACACCCATTTCAGATTGTTTCAAAAGAATCACTCATTATTGTTCAAATCTTAATTCATCACAAATTAAAAATCTTTTTTTTTTTTGTGTTCTCAACAGTTCAATCCTATTGTTAACTTGCAGCTGGATGATAGCAAAATAATAGGAATTAAAAAGAACATGTATTATTAATACATACATTAAGATATTTATTATAATCGGCCCGAGAATATAGTTTTTCTTTTTCTTACCTTGTGACTTTGTTTCTTTCTCTAGATTATGCATTAAAGTATGCAACCCTTGTTCTCAACTTGATAATCTTTTAAAAATGATCTTATCAAATGTAACTACTGTAATTTAATGTGTGTGTCATAAACTCTTTAACTAAACCGATTCAACTAGAACAATATAACAACAAATTGTTATATCTTTTTTTTTTTTTTTTAAAAAAAAAAAGATCTCTTTGAAACTTAATTCATTCACGAAAAAAAAAAAAAATCTTTTTTTGTATACTGCCAAAAAAAAGGCGTTAAAAAAAATTAAACTTCCTTCGTGACCGTCAAAGTCAGGTTTCCTTCATCTAATCGATAAGAAAGTTAAATCATACACTTTAAAGCTGAATGTATATTTCAAACAGTTAATAGAAGGAAAAAAAAAGATGGTAAAGGTTAAATGTCTTTGTCATTATACAATAAGATATAACAACATGAGCAAATTCGATCGAAAATTGTTTCAAATCAATCAATTCGATGCGATTCATTCCCACCTTATCATAATAAGATTGTTTTTCCTTTGTTCTTTTGTAATTTCTTACACTCAAATTATACATTTCAAATACTTGATACATAAAGATAAAGATAATCGTGTGGTACCGGCATAAAAAGTTGTAACATTCAAGAAAATCCATCACGCGCTTGTTTGGAATATTGGAAGGTAACCAACCTTGCATGCAAATATCATATGATACAGAAATAAAGGGTTTTATTAATGATATTAAATATGATATTAAAATGATGATAAATGCTAAAGTAAAAGAATGTACTCTTAACTTGTATGCAAGATATTTCGCCAATTATTAATCATTTTTTTAATCATTTAACCAATCAATAATCTAAATAATCTAAATTACCGATCTGCATGTGTTTGACGCGTTAATGAAAAAAACAAATAAGGATCTAATAATATTGTAAAAAGAAAAAGAAAATTTGATCTCGTTATAGGAATTTATTTTAAAAAAATGTTATGGTGTTTGGTGGTATTGGGTAACATTAAATATGCGGAGAAAATTAAGTTTCAGTTGAAAGTTATTCAGAAATTATATATAAAGTGGATAATCTTTTTTTTTTTCTTAAATAGAAAACAAAAGCTGTTTGGCGTTTTAATTTGACTAACTTAATATTTTAATCATTATCTTTGATAAGAGATAAGGTTCAATGTGATATTACCATACCCCTTAATTTTCCTTTTTTTTTTTTTTGCAGTTATTTTAGTGCCAGATTTTCATTTGTTTTTTGGTTGTTCTCAATAAACATTTTATTGGGACAATGATTACTCAATAAAGTTAAAATATTTTGTCCTTCAGCCTAATAGATATCACAAGATATTACATTCATTCTTGGAAATGGTATATACTAAACCATTTATATATAAATTATAAAAAACCTACATGTTTTTTTTGTAAAATTGATCAACAGTAAGTAAACAAAAAAAAACAACAAAGAACAACAAAGATTTGAATGGTTCGTCTTAAATAAACAAAAACAAAAAAAAAAAAAAAAGAATCAAATCAAATAAGAATAAAAATAATAATATCTTTTCTAACTATATACTGGTACACTATTGACGATCATTGATAAATACAGAAATTTTCATCAAAATTTTTTGTTCACAAAAATTACGTTTTGGGGTAAACAAAGATTTCATATAGACGCTAACCACTAGGGGGTTTTATTTTATTATAAAACCTTTCGAAATTTATTCAAAAAAAAAAAAAATAAGCGTTAGAAACATTTTTTATAAAACGAATTTTTTCAATGCTCAAACAGAGAACTTTTTATTTATCCTTTAAAAAAAACATATATATCAATAACTTTTCGTAAATTTTCTCAATCACGTTTATTTTATTTTATTTTATTTTTTTTTTTAAAAAAAAAAATAACATCTTATTCAAACAACGAAGATGAAAGAAATTAAAGATAAATCATTAACGAATTCTCAATATTCACACACTAATAATCACAAAATCGGTTCAAAAATCATTTTATAAAATCAATTTTATATATATATATATATATTATATAAATCAACATGAAACTTTATTTCTAAGTTGACATTCTAAGATGATCGTAAGATCCGAGAATTTAAGAATAAAAACTTAATTTGCATACATCATTAAAATATAAAAATCTATCACTATTTGAATCTATTGAATTAATTAATAAGAAGCCGATAAAAAAAAAATAAGAAAACAACAAGAAAAATTAAAAGGGTGATCAACATGAATGATTTTACTCATTGAAAATCAATCAAATATTTGTACTAAATCGATAATCGATTTTCGTCAAAGGAAAGAACATAAATATAAATAATTTATAAAAATTTAAACAAAAAGTACGATAACTTTGTAAATAAACAACCCCCGAAGGGTCATTAGTAACTCGTAACAAAGTTTACGAATTACTTGAGATGATTCCATAATGAATTGAGGTGCAATAATGTTGTTTTTTCGTGATTTGCGGTTTTAATGCTTTGTCGTCGTATAATGTGTTTTTTTATGATTTTGTAAGCTTTGCAAGCTTTGGAAGTTTTGGAATGTTTGGAATTTTTTGAAGAATTAGAAGCTTTACGCATTTTTATTTTATTATATTTTTTTGTGATTTGTTAAAAATTAAAATTTCTTTTGAATTTTGAAATCTTGTGGGGTGAAAAAATGAGTCATTTTATGTGAGAAATCTCGTGAGAGAAAATCAACGGAGAAGGTAAATCATTAAGTAATTGTGAGTTACATAATTTCAAAAATATAAAAAAAAAACTTTACCATTTCCTTTACCAATCCGATCGTCCATTGTTTAAAAAAAAACTTTATTTGTGTAAATATGATTTTCTTGATACATTTGAAAACAAAAAAACTGTACACCAACCTGCTTTCACTTTTATCATTGTTTCTTTGCATAATCATCTGAACGAAACTTTATCGTAATAAAATTTTTCACAAAAAAAAAAAAAGTGGATTATTGTAAGTTCGACAATACATTTACAAATCTTTATCTCAATTAATTTCTTCCAAAACTTTTTAACAACTCACTCAAAAACTATAGGGGATTAAAACTTTGTGTTCATAAATCAATCATCTTCAATTGGAAACTAGTGATACAAAATAAATCGTGTATTCTTTCCTCCATTTGTGTAATTTTATTATATATGTTTCTTTTTGTTTAATATGGAAAATTATCCTTTATTTGGAACCATTGTTTTATAAGTTCATTGTCTGTAAGATCTTTTTTTTTCATTGATATAATAAATTGAAATACATCTATTATGAAATTAAAAGATAAGTTGAAATTTCAAATGGAAGATTTGATAATCACAAGTCAAATCACAACATAATCAAAATAATTTTATGAAGAAAATCCACATCTAACAATAATGAATTTTTAGTGTTTCGAATATTAAATTCCATTTACTAACTATTGTGGAGAGTAAATCCACTAGATAATTAAAAAAATTTTTTTTATTGAAAACCTTTCCAAAATCCGAAAAAATCTAGAAATTTTAATTTTTTCTGAAAATTAAAAATTTTCCAGCTTTGGTACCACCAATTTTTAATTGGAAAGTCTAAACGTAGTAAACTTCATTGTTTTTTTCTTTCATTTCCAAAGGTCTGGATTATGTCCCATTGCAATAAATTTCGGGACGTCATGGCGTCGATCGTACTTGTGTAATGTTTAATAAACTTTAGATTGTAATTTA